GCACTGTGCACCAACCAGCATAGCATGTGAGAAAAAGCCCGCAAGAGCTGAAGAGTTATATAATACAGCTCGTGAGGCTCGGACATTGAGAGTCTTCAGCCCATGGTGGGCCAGGAATTCTAAAGGAGTCAAATCCTTCAACAGGTGCTTCCTGGTGACAAGTCCGCTTCCAGGTTCCCAGGTCCTGGTTGGGCCACGTTTAACCCGTCCAAAGACCTACATGCGGGACCCGCGGAAGTAAAGCCAAGTCCGAACTGCGGAACACATAGTCAAACCCACGGTATATTCATACTGCAGACACTATGTCATGGAATCTATGCCTATACGTTGGCCCCAGGTCAACCACCCCATGTAAACGTCCCATGGAGTGTTTGGGATTGTTGGATGACGGGACCCAGGACGTGGTGGCACCACTGCCCCCGCCGGCGGCAGCGCGAACGCCGGTGCGCCACCGCCGCCGCTGCGACCGCTGGCGCAAGTGTTGTCGGAGCAGACGCGGGGGCAGCAAGGGAAGACCGGCCTCAGAGTAGGGGAGCCCGGCCAAAAAGGGGGGTGTTGGGCGTGGGAGGAAGGAATCAACAACATTTGGAAGACGATATATAAACCAACCCTTAATTCCATGCTGTTGTTCTCTAAAGCTTACTGTAGTTTCCTCAACCATTTTGTTTGTTTGTTTGTCTCTTTTTTTTCCGAGCCCTTGTGCTTGGGAGTGGATGTGTGAGCACTGCCATATTCATGACCTATCATGATCGATAGATTTGAGACCACAAGCGGGCGTCGCAGTGTCACGGAGCTTGGGATGTTAAGGGGTCTCTCAATTTGACCAGCCCTTATTAGTGGGTATGCTTGCAATATGCTTGCATGACTCTGACGTGTTTCGGTCTCCTGCCACTTTTTTTTGTGCCGCACATGTATGTGCGGTCACACGTAGAGTACAGTAAGCCCTCTTCATGCGGTGGTACGGAATTCTACCATGACATTCTAAGAGTACATGGCTGTTTTGTCAGGTACGGTGGAAGGAGAGCTGTCTGTCCAGTTCCGAGGCACTTCAACACGGTTCCGTGGGAAGAACACCACCTGGCTGGTCTTCTGAACATGGTCATCCTTTCCACGTCAACCCACGGCTCCCACGATGAGTTCAGGGAGTGTACTGAGAGTGATGCCTCACTGTCAGACACCTCCGCAGCTTCGCAGTTCTTATGCACCACCCAGTACAACAGCTTCAACACTGCTTCACCACAACAGACACCTTCTCATCTCCCAACCATGCACATAGAATAACATAGAATAACACCACACCACACACACCACAGACGCATCTAAATCTACACAGAACTGACCCCGACTCCACCCCCCCTTCCACTTCTCATCTGCCCAGCCCTCCTCTCCCTCCCCTTCCTCTCCCTTCCTCCCTCCTTCCTCACTGCCTCAGGTGGCAGCTGCCGTGGTGCGCGGCCAGGGCGGCGCCGTGGGCATGCAGCTCATGGTTTCTTGGCTCAGCTCGCGCTGCGAAGGTTCAGATGGGGAGGTTCGAAGGGTCCGAGCACTAGAGCACGGTCCGACTGATTGCTGTTTTACTTGTCTTTAAAAGGTCAACAAGCGTTTTTTGTAGTAAGAACCGTTGTTTTACTTGAACAACTGGTGTTGTTAGGAAGGACTTTAGACTACAAAATGCATCTTCGAATGCCAGGAGCTGCCGCACGGAGCCTCCGCGCGGCGCGTGGCGCGTGCACGGCTGAGGTCGGGAACTTCTCGCCACAGGGGATGAGCGGCTGGGCAGGGGCACCTGGAAGAAGGGCGGATTGAGAGGAGTGAGAAGTTTTACGGAAGATCCAAGAGAGGTTCAGAGAGTTGGACCTGAACTAGAACCCTTTTTAGTGGTACAAGTACACATGGGATTTGGTATAGGCTATAGGGGCTGTGTCAACCTCTCTAAGCGATGTTTGAAGTGTCTTTTCCAATTCTTTGGACCACTTTTGCATAAGAAGTGGGTCAGTAGCAATTAAAGATGTGGATGTGCAATTTTCCCAAGATGTTTCAAGCTTCAACCTGTCCTGCCATCCATTCACACGCTTTTCAGGCGGTGCAGATGAACAAGAACCCCTTCGGGTTGGCGCCCGCGGGCCCCTTGCAGTTGAAAGAGGCGCCCTTGATTCAACTCACTTGGTCCTTGGGGAAGTGGAAAGGGGGTTCGGTTGGGAGGTCTGGTGTTGGGAAGATCTCCAAGGTGCCCTTGCAAGTCACACGATGATGACAGATATGATTGGACATGGCCTGAAGATTCTTCTAGCTCCATGAATCCGTTTTGGATGGTGGTCCAGAATTCCTCTTTCCCACCAGTGGCTTTGGATGGCACCTGAATTCGGCTCGCCCCAGCCACAATGACGCCTTGCGACGCGATTGCTGAAAGAGCAGCTATACGGTCCCACGCCAGCTTCTTGGCCTCAGGAGGTTGGATCGATCAGAACACCCTCCGAAGTAAAGATCGAATCGGAGAAGCTTCACCCAGCTCACCCTCCCTGCACCCACACCCACACACACACACAACTGCCACATGTTGGGGCGAAAACCGAAAAACAGAACCATGATGTCCCAAACCAACCCAAACCTATATTATAGTCTATTAGTTTTGAAGCACTGTGCTTGTAAGGTGGTGAGGTTTCGTTGTCCCGAACCGGGCTTTCCGAAACCCTGCAGAATCCGAAGAGTTCAACCGCCTGGCCCGGGACGGTCTTCCTGCGGGTCCTGCGGAGGTACCGCCCAACGGCACCGGGAAGGCCCTGTTGCCCTTGACGCCGAACCAGCTGCTCTCAGGTGCCGAGGGCGCGCAGCCCAGCGTTGTTGGGGTCTGGCGGCGAGCAGAGCGGTCTGGCGGTTGTTTTGCTTCTTGTGGGCTCCACTTTGGTGCTGTGGTCCCCCTACACCAGATCAGTAACAAAATTATTCCAGGGTACCACACACATGTCTACACCTCAGGGTAGGGACCATATTTTGTTGTGGAACCGGGGCCAGAGCTTTGGCCAAAGGGGGAGCAATACGACGAGAACATGACATGATTCTTCTGTCAACCTGTTACATCCTGTTGGACATGAACCATGGAACATTCTTGTTTCGACATGAACATTAAAACAATCATTAAAAAACGTCATAGAAAGTCACACTTTCACAATGACACGTTCTTAATGAACAACTCCCCGCAAAGAACTCATGAAACTCTTGGGAAGGCCTGTGCCATCGCTGTCCCTCAGTCCTGTCCGTGAGGCGCCGCGCCCTCGATGCCGCTCTATTTGGAGGTGCATGGGCCAGAGGTTCAAGGACCCTTAGACTATCGTAGGTACTCCAAGAGGGTAATTCAGTAGGGTACCCCAGTAGGGTACCCCATAATATATAGTACCCCATATAGTAACTCTATAGACTATAGGCACCCCAGTAGGGTCCTAGTTCAGGTCACTTATACAACCTCTTTTGGTGGATCCAAACTTGGAGACCGACCAGCTCAGGTAGCGAGTTTGACCAGTCCGCCAGGTAGCGAGGTAGATGCCCGGTCGGTTTTTTTTGGGTGCCAGTTCCCCACGGCCATATTACAGTACAGGCACGTTTTTTCCTGGATAGTTCTTAAACATGTAGTACTTATAGCTCCACTTGTACTTGGTGGTGAGTATCAGTGAGAATCAAGCAGCTGGAACTAAGCTAGAACATGCTAGGACTTGCTGGCGATGCTGCCCCTGGATCGCCACGTTCGCCTCGTCCAGGTGGCGATCAAGACCAATGTGGACGTCTTCTACCTCAATGTGTCTTGGAATGGCCAGACGACGTGACAGTCAGGTAAAGCAACCGCAAACCTCAGGTGTGCGGACTATGGCGCAAGTATACAGAATCACAATATACCAGCACCCTCCAACAGGTCACCAATTGAATCCTTTAGGGCCTAAAGGAGACCTGTTGGAAGGTGCTGGTATAGAAACAATCTAGAACACTGCTTACCACAATGCGACGGAACATAAGTGCGGCCGTCGTGCTTGTTGTGTCTATATTCCTGTCATCTGGTGCACAGATTGATGACATCCAACAGAGGTGGGTCAGGACCCGACAGTTCGCCTATCCCAGTTCGGTATCCCAGGCCATGTCGAACCCACGCGGGGAACCCCCCCCGTGGGTTGCTTCGCGTGAAAGAAGGACGGCGCGCCCGACTCGGGTCGTTTGGCAGGTGGGCTATGATCTATCGGCCGTGCTCGTGGATAGTGGCCCCATGCCGAAGGACGCCTTTCAGCGCTTGTGGCAGGCTGCACCTGCAGACAAGAAGGCAAGGTTGGAAGTTGCAGACAGGGCTTCATAGCAGCATGGCTTTGATATTATGCAGTAGGCACAGGGTATTCTGCACGTTTTTTTGCTTTGTTTGCTGCTTCTTTTTAAAAGAATAATCTCTTGTCCTACAGCTGAACGCTGTGGAACTTATCTTTGAGCCCCCCAATGATTTCCCCAAGCAGCACTTGGAACCTTCCTGCACAAAAACTCTTCATCAAGAAGTTCGAACCTCCCAAAGGAACAAAGACCCGAACCACCTTCAGTAGTTCCTTCCCTTCGCGGGCCGTTGCGGGGCCGTTGCGGGGCCGTTCTTCCACGTGGCTGGGCGGCTCGAACGACGGCGGCTTCCCCCAACGGTCCACGCGTTCGAACGCCGGAACGGCGGGTCGGGAACGGCGCAGGCCATGTGCCAGGGCGCCTTTGGGCAAAAGGTCAGTGCGCAGATGGTCTCCACGAGGTTCGCTCCCGAGAGAACGACGCTTCGGGACGGTTCGGGACGGGTGGAAGGGCGCGCTTGGGGCGCGCGACGGGGGCGCGCCCGGGTGCATGCTTGCATGTTAGTTCTAGGCAGAACAAACTGTGTCATGGTCCCTTTTTGGGGGTGCATATATGGCCGACAGGAATTGATGGTGGCAACACTGGAGTTCGATCAAATCAAAGCCCAGCGAGCGCGAGCGCCGCTTGCACGCGCAAGCCGGGCGAAGCTGCCAAGCTGGACACCGCCGGAAGCAGTTTGGACCAAAGAAGGCGAAAGAAGGTGTCCTTTGCCAGAGGTCGTTTTGGGGGTACTGTAGCTCTTCTTTTTTTTTCTCTCTCTCTCTCTCTCTGTCTCTCTCTCTCTCTCTATCCCAAAGTCCAGAGAAAAGTACTATCCCAAATTGCAGATGGCCTGCCTGTCATTGTCTCCGGCCCTTTGGTCCACCTTGGCCCGCAGCCCCCCAGGATGCAGCAATACTACTGCTTCCTGGTGGCCCAAACACAGGCTGCCTGCTGAGCTGGCGGGGACGAAGGTGAGATGAGGTCATTCCTCCCATCCCAGAAGTGTTTGAAGGAGGTTGAAGGGAACATCTACAGGAAACCCGTGGTTTTGACTGCCCAAGACTAGGGGTTTCCTGTAGCTGTTCCCGGCAAAACCACTTCTGGCAGCCGGCAAATCCAAGTCATCACCAGACCCCTAGCCTTCCGTTTAAGCATTAAAAGAAAGGTTGACCTGGTCTTAGTCTAAAGCCCTTTATTACAAAACAGCTCGATTATTCCATCAAAACCAGTGGCCCAGGCGTCTCGATTTGGACCCAAGGGGAAGGAGTTGGTCAGAGGGCAGATGACAGACTTAGCAACCAACCGACCAAACTTCCTGCCTATGAAGGCTCCGCTTTTATATTTGTTGGACGCCTTCGATGTTGCTTTGGACCACGTCCAAACCCAACCCCGCATCAGCTTCGCTTCAAACCGCCGCGTGCGCGGCGCGTGCGTTTGGGGTGCAGATGGGCAGGCACAAGACATGGATTTGCTGTACTTTAATTGCGGGGGCCTTGGACGATGGGTCAAAGACCATTTTAAAGATGGTCTGGCTAGGGGTCGGACACTTAATATATAAGTTCGGACATGTCCGGCACTTTGGTGTCCGCAACAAGTTGTTTTCGATTGACGTCAAAAAAGAGGGTGTATGATGGTCTCTATATGCCTCAACTCCGCATTCCCGGCTCCCAGCTTTGCCCAGCTCTTGGACTGCCTCGGTTTTTCCGTTGGACCAAGGCTCCACCAGCAACAAGCTGAACGTCTACTGCGAGTTGAGCCTCCAACGGGCAGGGACAGGAGTCCGGGGCCCGACGGGGCCCGAGGACGGTCGGTGCGAGGACGTGGGAACCAGGTGCTTCCAACGCTTCCAAAAGGAGGGGAGAAAGATCTCAGGTAGCCGAAAAGATTGGTGGTAGGTTGTAACAGATGTTTGATTGAACCATGTTTGAACCATTTTGAACATCAATATATATCAATATGATGTGCAGTCACCCACGAAATCCGTCCTCTACCTTCTCCTCCGTGCCGCCTGCCCCGTCCAACCTGGTCCTCCACGCGATCACCCCTGTATCGCGCCGGGTTTCGCGCCCCACGCTCGTGCAAACGCTGAGGTGCGGGCGGTGTGCTGCAGCGAGCAGCAGGTCATGATACCGCTCTTCCAGAGCTTCCTGTCCGAGCTCCTGCAGGTCGCGAGCTTCCCGGCCGGACGTGTGTCGTTTGGTGCTGGGAGTGCCCATTTCTTTTAAATACTGGCTGCCGGCCTGAGGCAAAAGGAAGGTAGGGGGTGACCCTGGATGTGTAGCAATGCCATTCACCATTCCAACATCGAGGAACTAAATGGAAGGAATATGCTGCAGTATGAAGGAGAGGAAGAGCTGCGTTTCCCTTCTCCCGAGCTGCTGCTGTGGAGGCCCTTGTTTCATTTTGAACCTCTTTTTAGGGAGAGAGAGAGAGAGAGAAGAGCTTGTTGAGAAGTGGTGGTGATGCTTTTGGGGTCGCCCAGGAACTGGAAAGGGAAGAGAAAGGTCTCCGACCCTTGTGGAGCTAACATCTTTTTGGTGATTCAGTACGGATCAAAATCCAAATGTTTGGAATTGCTTTGTGCTGGAGATATTCTCCGCATGAAACATCCCTATAAGAAATATGATTTGGTTCCGATAGGCCACATGTCAGGTAGCTGGTCTTTGCCAAGCAGCCATTGTTTTACCAAGGAGTTTAGATGATTTTAGACTACAGAACCAGATCATCAATTTTTTGAATGGTCGAACTGAAGGCTAGGGAGGTAGCAGGGGGGTTTTCAGTGTGGCACTGCCCTTTTTATACCAAGTTGCGGGCCTCTCTCATTCATCAAGGTATCAGCAGTCCACCGTACTTCGGTGGAGGGGGGACTATGACTTTGGATGTTTGTTGGCACATGGCCATCGAGCTGGTGATTGACTGTAAGGTATCGAGCTGGTGAGTTGTTCTGGCCCTGTGCGAACAGAACAGAACACTCCACTTCTACCCATGGGGTTGCTAATGTTTTCTACACTCCCTGGAACTAACTTAAAGTGGAACACCCTCTGTTTGGTGATCCTTTCAAGGCCATGCCATCTTTCAAGGCCATGCCATCCACGTCACCATTAGGACGTTCCAGGGAGTGCAGTATATTTTTTTGAAAGTTTCACCGGCCCAGCTGGTGGTGTCGGGAGCGACCACAGCTCTTCGCTTCGCTCTGCAGCGCTAGGGAGCTTGGAGCTAGGGAGCTAGGGAGCTGGAACTTGGAGCGACCACTTGGAGTAGTCTCGACACCACAAATGGATGGACATCCCCAAACAACCACTTGCTATGTCAATGGCGACTCTTAAGGATCTCCAGCTGCCATACGAGGAACGACCATTGATATATATCCTACAGAGTCGTCGTGGCCCACCATTTTGTTCAAGTACCAACAAAGGTTGAAGGACCCTATAGACTCTCCCATAGGTACTCCAGGTGACGGGTCCTAGTTCAGGTCACTGGCTACCTCTCTTGGTATAGCCCGGGTCATCCCGAACCACCGAACCGATCGCTGTTTTACTATAAGGGTTTCACACGAAGACCATCCGGTCACCCGATCTGTCCCGAGCGGTCTTGGACGGGGAGGGCGAACACAGACGGAGAGACATCTGGAGCTGCTACCGGCCACCTTCTGAGAGGCTTCTACCAGCACCCGACTTCACAGGTGCTGGTGACAACAGGTGCCCAGAAACCACTTGTTAGGGCAAACAGCCTGTTGGAGGGTGCTGGTATTGGATTTCTGCTTCTCCCAGAACTTCCGCGACTGGACTCAGACTCTACTCTACCTGGTCGTCCATCCATCAATTTCCCCAAGTCGATCCAATGTCGGGGTAGGTCATGTTCGTCAAATTTCCCGGACTCTCAGGGAAGATCTGCAGGGCTTTGAACACCGGTGTCTTCGTGACCACGGCCATGGCGGTCACGCCTTGCCAGGTGAAGTGGCAGCAAGGAGGACCCCCGTGCCGAGCCCCGGGAGAAGACAGCGGATGGTTGGTCCCAAGACAGTGACCCCAGGACATACGTTGATCTAAAAGAGGAACAACACAGAAGAAAAAAGTCGTGAGGTCAAAAGAAGAAAAGGGTCAATGTTATATAAAGGAAAAAGACAAATAATAACAGTTCATCTATATATATATATCAATATATTATATAAAAATACAAATTCATCAAACACCTCCACCATTTGGAGTGGGAAACCTCTTTCCTGGAAAGTCAAACCCGAAGAGAATGGTCTGACGAACAGGGGATGCGGTTTCGGGAATTTTGTTTACTTCATTGAGGCAAAGTACAGTCTTTGGACTTCTATGCGGGCTACTGTAATCTGTGAGTTTTTTTGCTTCAAATTAATCGACCATCTATCCCAGACACTCCATAGGACTGCCATATATAATATACGCATATATATGCCTATACATTGACCCCCCTGGCACCACCCTTGGCCGTTTCTCAGCAGTCCGGACTGGCAGTCCCATGTGTCAAGTCTGGGTACAGATACGAAGGCGATGTTTAAAGATTTGTTTGGAGAAGATCCTGCTGTCCCGGTTCGTGGACAGAGAGGTTTTAAGGCGGTCGTTCCTTTCATGGTTGGGGGAAGCCCCTAAGGGGGGCTGGTTTTGGCAGATGTTTGCCAGGCTAATGACCTTTCGAGCCCCTCAGATGGTTGGACATGGTTGGACTTCACAGGGAGAAAGAGCAGCATTTGCACGACCTTTGGATCCCGGAATCTCCTCGGAATCCAAACCACTTTGCACAGCGGTTTTTTGAGGTCAAGAGCGCCATGTGGCGCTCTTTTGGCCCCGAGGATGTCCGGAATCATATATTATGTCACCACGAAAAAATGGGCCTCACCCATTTTTGCATGGTCTTGATTGTTTTTTTCTCAAGCTTTACCGGCAAGGGGGACGAGGTTTTTCACCTTTTCCCAGCTTCCTCAAGCGTGCGCACCCGGCTTTTGTGCGCTCCGCCACGCGGTCCGCCCGCTCAGGCAGCGCTAGGGAGATCCCGTTGCAGTTCACCACTGCCAAAGCGCGGGGAGAGAAAAAGAGCGGCGCGCAACTCGGAAATTGGTGGCCTCTGTGAAGAGGACGCAAGTGGAGTTACGGCAGCCCTGGACCAAGAAGCTCAGGTCTGCTGGAACAAAGGTGGTTGGATCCGAACTCTTCCGAAGCTACTTTTTTGTGGGGGGTCATTAGTAACTTCCTATAGACGTCCATTTGAGAATAGATTGCACGAATCTGCCAGAATTATCCACTACGATTTGCCACAAAGTGGCACGCATCTCAAAAAAGGATGATATCAACATTGATCAACCAACAAATCCCATGGCTAACAACTCTCCACCCCTTTGTTTTCACCACTTTGGGGGGGGCCAGGTGGAGGAGCTTAAGTTGGTGGGCGATCGGTTGCACTACAAGCGCCTCACAGGCGCGGCGCGCTCAGAGGCGGAGTATGGGGTGAAATGGGTGTGATGTCCGTGAGGTGTGACTATATACCCTTTGTTTCCAACCATCATAATGGTCTTCACCGTTTACCGAACAACATTTTACTGAAGGGTGTGATACTACAACACAAGGTCAACCAGGTCAACAGCTTTACAAACGGTCTTGGACTCCCAGGGTATATGATGTGGTCTATATCGATCAATATCATCATTCAACATCTACCGCGGTCTACCGTAGTCTACCTGCGACGGAGTCATTAAGCCATCAAGCCGCAGGCACAGGGCCTGATGAGGGCTGGGTGAGCACCAAGATCAGTGGCAAGGCGCGCAGCCAGGGAAGGCTGAGCTGAGCTTGCGGCACTAAAGATGGAGAGGATGACAACAGAAGACACAGAAGTATATACCCTGTCGGGGTCAAGCTCGACTCTCAAAAGAATGCTCTGACTATAGGGGAACTGAGTCTGGACACTTCCTGAACACTCCAGCCGGTCAACATATCGTCGAACTGGACTTCAGCCGGGTATACTGAGCTTTGGGTGCCGAACCTTGGAGGACTTGGAGGAGGGAGGTCACTGCCCTGGGGGTGCCTAGAACATCCACGCTGGATGAGGCCCCAAAGGATCCCTTCATCTTGTGACTCCTGGTGTATACAGAAGTCTTTTTGGAGGCTGATCATATGAGGTCTATCAGCTGGGATCTATCAGATCCAGGTGTCCAATGCTTAAAAAGGGCATTCATTCTGCCAATCCGGAGTTCTTTTAAATTCGATGCATGAAAACAATTTCATTTTTGCAGGCTTTGGCCTCTTGAGCCCAGCCAGATGGAGGGCAGAACATCAGATGTTTCGATTCGGGAGACCGCGAGTTTTCTCGGAAGGGGATGGAAGGGTCCCTCCAGAAGATCTCAAGAAAAATCCCAGCTCCCAAAAGGCTCAGTGGCAGGACCCTCAGTTCGCTCTAGGGTTTGGACCCTCACAGCCCAGGGTGAACTGGACCGTCTAAACATCGGGTCGGATGAGCCTCCGGGCTGTGCGATTCATCGGTCTGGCCTTGGCGTCGGGTTGGTTGATTCGCAGGAGGGGGGGGGTTCCTCCCGGGTTGTGAACAACCAATACAAAAGTATATGAATGGTATATTATGGGCACCAATGAATTGCACCCCCTCCGTGATTCGCAAGGTCGGATAGCATAGGTTTGCCATCAAACGAGTCGACTTAGCCAGCAAGTGAGAAGATGAGGTTGGCAAACTGGGTGACTTAAGGATCTTAAGGGCCTAGAAGGGTCCTGGACAGTGCTGGCCATGGTGAAACACCCAGTGCTTCAGTAGGTCTGAGCCAACTTCTGAGTTCGGAAGCAAGCTTGCTTAGCTGCCATGCACACAACAGGAGCTTGTGGTGAAGAAGGAGGTGGATGACACACCTGCTGAGGATGTTGGCGGTCCAGGAGAGGGCAAAACCTGTCATGGTTAGGGATCTGATGAGGCCACGAGAGTCTAGCCTACACGAAGGGATGGTTTCCGAAGGTCTGGTTTCAGTGGCTGCACTCGGCATGGTGCTTGGCTGGATGACAAGAACGGTGTCATTGGTTCCAAGCGTTCCAAGTGGGGGAAAAACCTCCACGTTTTGGTAGGTCCCCTGGAATCTGAATTTGGAAAAACCTCGTCCCAAAGGACCGCACGGCGGGCCGACTCGAGGAGAGGCATCGGGCCCCGTGGAGGTGGACGAAGCCTTGAAGGCGAAGGTCCTCGACATCTCCAAGGCGCCAAGCGGCCGAGCGGCCTGCGGCCCGAGCCGCGGCGCAGCGGGTGCGGCTAAGCAACGGACCTCGAACCACGTGAGCCGTTGAGACTGTTTGGGAGTGACTAAAGGAAGGATCCGCCCCCCAACAAAAGTTAAAGAATCCTCTTGACTCTCCCGTGTTTTCCAGCGGTTTTTTTGAGTCCTTTTTCAGGTCACTTCAGATGGAAGTGGCATTCATCGGGCCCCCCGGTTTGTGAGCGCCAACACCGAAGAACGGTCCGGGTTCCGTGTTCAGCTCGCTCAGCTCGCTCGCTGGTGTTCGCTTCCGCTTGGGCGCGCCACCGTGTTCGGACTCGCAGGGAGCTCAAAGCGTATACAGAGGGCCCACAGGAGTACCTACTAGCACATCCAACAGGTCACCAATTGGAACCTGTTAGGGCCTAACTACCCTCCAAAGGAGACCTGTTGGAAGGTGCTGGTATAGGATAGTCGAACTAGGGTTCTGACCCACCTCTGCTGGAATCTGGGAGTCCTGCGGTACAGGTTCGCCAGGGCAAGCGCCAGGGCAACCGGACATTCGGGAGGTGGGGGTGGAGGAGGCCGTTGCTGTTTGATGCCGGGTTGATGAGTACAGTATCCCGAACCTGGCGAACTCCTGGCGAACCTGCCAAAGACAGGAATTGAGCCGAGAGTCTTGCTGGGGGTGTAGATTCTTGGGGAACCACTGGGTTCGCCTACAATTTGTACAGGAAGCTGGATTTGCTGGGTTTGTTTTGGGTGAATCTCCAGGCATGGAGACGGATTTGTGGTGTGCATATGTGTGCTTTGCGAGTCGACCCAGCATTACTTCGGGAGCTGTTCGGTGCCAGGCCAAGAAAGACGACTTCCTTTTGTACTGCATGAAGTACAAGGTGCGACGTCTTGGAAGAATCCGGGATGCAGCAGTTTTTTTCTGGCAGACATTCGGATCCAATAGCATCCATTTTTGGTTGCCCCGAACAGACATGCTTCCTGCTTCGCTGCGGAGCGGCCTGGAGACGCAGTCCCAACCAGAAACAACTCTGGATGTTTTTCCCCAGTCCCAACCACTTGCTATGTAAAAGGAGCAAAACATTGCCACTCCTTGGGTTCCAACCATGTGTGGGACTGGGGAAACCCAGGTGCCTAAGCATGCCACCTTGCCACCTTGCCTCTCATCATCTTCGGGCCGTGGGTTCCTTTGGCTGGAACGCGATCGTTTGGACCCTCCTTCTTCCACGACACCTGCGTGGCGCGCCGGCGGCGGCGAGCCGGGGCCCGTCGCGCCGCGGCACTTGACACGAGAGGTGCTGGGCTTCCCCCTGGACAAGCCCAAGCTGCGCGTGCTGTGCTTCCACAACGCCGGCAGCGCGGAATCCATCTACACCGGGCCGGGGGACGCAGAGGTTCTGAGGGTCAACCAGTCGCACGGGGGGAGGTCGGTGGCAAAAGATGGAGAGATTGAGGTGGGTTCGCTCCATATAGACGGGCCTCAGTGGCGCCGAGATGGGCACTCCTTTGAGGACTTTCATGGAAGTTGATTACTGTGTGTATATATTATACATACATATACCCTAGGGCTCCAGTCGTACCTTCTGAGGTTCGGTGGGACTGGGGGGTGCCACCCTTCGGGTACAGTCATGACCTTCGTTTCGTTTCGGACTGCTGCTTCACAACGGCTGCTTTCCACGAATGGCGTCATGGCGCGCCCGGATGGCCTTTTACATTTTGGAGAATCCCAGAATTCCTGAAGAGTCCAACACCTAAAGTTCCTAAAGCATTCGGCAGTTTGATGCAGTTTGGATGAGTGGTGTTCTTGGATGATGTTGGAAGATCCAGCATCCCAATGTTGACCCGCCTGGAAGCCGGGAAAAACACTGAACACACATGGTTGTTCCCAGGAGTGGCAATGCCTCGATCCTTTACATGGCAAGTGGTGGGGACTGGGGAACAAAACACACCCAGACTGTCCAGACTTGTTTCTGTCTCGAGGCATGTATATAAATTTATAAATGATACCTGCGACCATCCAATATCCAATGATCAATGGGTGTCCCATCCATGGAGATCCCGGAGAGAAATGGAGGCTAGTCCAGCCATAGCCAACAGAGGTTGAAGGACCCGAACTAGCCTATCCCATAGGTACTCCAGTAGGGTCCTAGTTCAGGTCACTTAACCTCTCTTGGTAGGCGTTCGCCACCTCGCCACGCGGGCGCCGCGGGACGCGGGCGCCGCCGCGGAGGCCGAAGACGCCGTTCATCGACTGGGTGAAGGAAACGAAGCACCTGGGGCGGAGAATGGGAGAAAGGGAGGAGGAAGCTGAACCCGACGACCCTGAGTAGATGGGTGAAGATGCAGTGGGTTTCAGAGGTTCGATGGCACACTCCCCAAAAGGTGGTCTATTTTTAATAATGGAGCCCCTATCTGAAGGACCTCTTGGGGTGCCAGTGCCATCGAACCTCTGAATACCATTGGGAGCGGACGCCCCAAACAAGCGGTGTTCGCCCGTGTGCGGGGGGGTGGGGCGCAGCAGTTGGGGGGGGGGCAGGTTCTCCACGGTGGTGGAGTCAGAAACGTCCGTCGTTGGGTGGGTCGGAACCTCCTCGCGATCCACTCCGCAGCCGTTAGCGTTTGACGTTTGGTTCGGCGGGGAGCTGGCTCGGGTGAAGGAGATGGGTATATGGTTTCTTTCAGACCGAGAAAAAGAGGGGTGGCAAGGTGCAGGACCTCTCCTCTAGGAGGCAAGATCAAAGAAGCTGCAGGAACGTGGCCCTCCGCCCCCCCCCCCCTGTCGTGCTCGCCATGCTCGCCGTGCTCGCCGCACCGAGGCAGGTGGAGGTCATGGCCTTCGACTACCCCGGCCGCGACAAGCTGCTGAAGGCCACGAAGCACACGACCACGGAGACCTTGGCGCCGGAGCTGCTGGTGCGCGGGGGCCGGGTAAGGAAAGGGTGAGGGGATGGGTGAGGGGAAGAAGCAGACGGGAGAGTGGGATGGTGTGGAAAGAGTCGATCGAATGTAGAGGATGACGATGTTGGAATGTATGATGTGCTTGGATTAATAGGCTTATATTGATTTAGTATATGATTTAATAGGTGTTCACACGTTTTTGTAGGAGGGATTGTCATTTGTATGTCCAGAAATACTACAGCGCAACTAACATAGCGCAACTCATTTTACCTCATATAGACAAAACAAGATCTTCCAGTATGGTATGCATGCTAGCCTTCCTATTCGTTAAGCGGCGAAATGAACCATGTCATGTGGTTTGCATTGGGAGTGATTTGCCAATTCGGAGAGCACATCCCAGTTCCCACCAAGGTGTCTTTCGCCACACCATATCACGTCGAAGGAAACCACAAAGACATTGATAATATTGATAATCGCTTTGGATACGATTTGCATTGCGATATCCGGCAACCTGAATCCTTCATCTTGTCACATCCAGTGCGGGCCCCATGAGAAGCAAATCGGGGCATGCGAGCAATGCAGGGTGTGGCCTATGAGAAGCTCACCGATGGTGTTCCCTACATCGTTTGGGGCCACTCGGTCCGGAACCCCAGCGGCAGGCTGGGACAGCTGTGACAGCTCAAAACCTGGGAGTCCAAGCGCCTGACTGTTGATTGACCCCTCAGACTGCCCTCAGACATGGATTGTAAAACCTCTTATTAAACTATCAGACTCTTATAGATCTTCCTATGGGGCCTATGGGGGTTTATTTTAACAATTGTCGGACTAAAAGATCCGATTTCAGGAATGTGCTCTACTTCGGGGGTGCATTTTCTAGTCGATCTGGACTTGCAGGGAGAAAGCTTCTTTGAACAAGTCAATATGGGCGTCATGTTTGGCTATACATTTTGTGCACACAAAAGAATGGACAAACACTGCAAGCATACCTGCAAACATACCTGCAAGCATACCAAGCATGCAACATTTCTGCCATCCGGCTGGGTTCTGTGGATGAAAAAAGAAACACTTTGCATAGTTGGAAGATCCAGGTATGACTTGTTGGACGGTGATCCCGTGTCCAACAGGCCATGGGGCCATGGGAAAGAAAGGCAGAAAGCAGAAGGTCAGGACACATGAAAGGCGTGGACCCATCCGGCGTCCCGTTCGATGGACGTCAAACACTTATAAAGACCGTTTCTTCGGGGTTTGGTGGATGGGGATGATGATTTTTCTCCAAAAGGTGAGTCCCCCTTCCTGGCATCTCCCGCATGCATGTCCTGGCCCACCAAGTGATTTAAGAGGCGGGTCATCTCGAAGAACCCATTGGTTGAACTGAGGATTTTGCACTACCAAACCAGCTTTTGCCTTTTGTTTAAATGGTCTTGGAAGTCTATATATTATCAAGAGACTTTTTTCTTCCCGGTTCCTGAAATACTTTCAGCAAACTCAGAGTATTTCGCAAACTGTGCTCCCGCTCGGCAGCCAGGTGGGCACCTGGGTCGGCTTCGAGTTCCTCATGCACGCGCGAAAGGCGTCGCTCGCGGCGCGAGGGGTCGCGGCCCCGGAGGGTCGCGGGTCGTTTGGGCGGGTCGCGGCCTTCGCATCTTCGCTTCGGTCTGAGCATTTGAAGCCGCGGACGTATCCAGTTCATGCGAACTAGCTGGATGAGAGAGCTGAACGTTACAGACCCTGGTCTGTGGTACACACAGGGCAAAAAAGGGTTGCTCAACCTCTCTAGGAAAGGACGAGGAAGCACGGGCAGTTGCATTTCTGCTCAGAATTGCAATGAACTGGATGGTTAAAGAAGATTCTGCAGTCGACCGCAAAGGATTGTTGGGAATGCGCGAAAAGCACTTGGCAATGGATGGCAAGTCGTCTCATTTGGCAATGGAAATGACCAAAACAACCAAGGTGTCCTTGTTTGTTCTCTGGGGTGTCAAGGAACCACCCTCTGTTGTGACAGGAAGAGTGTTTTCTTAGTCTTAGGGCAGGGATGATCCTAATATCAAGCAATACTCCTCTTGGCAATACAAACCCATAAGTCTTCATCTTAGGGAAGAGACATCACTGGCTTTTGGCACATCTTTGGGGTGCTTTGGGCCCTTCGGTTTCTCATTGCCCTACCGACCCCTCGGTGCAGATCGGCCTGCCTATGCCCTTGGCGGCCTTCTTTGCGACGGGGCTCAGTACGGCACAGCGGAGCAGGTCGGCCGCAGGAGCCACGGTCGAAGAACCGCCGCGGTGGAAAAACCCGGTGTTTTTGGCCGGATCGGGTGATTGATGGTGGATTTTTCCCCCCCAGTGGAATCGCCATGGCATGATTAGATTAGATTGATCGATGTGTTCTGATCTTTCGGTCTTCATGGACCCAGCAAGTCCATGAGAAACAGCCACCAGCCACCCAGGTCACCTTCCCTGCACCACACTGGCCCGAGACGAAGCGTCCGGCGGCTCGGGGCGACTGGGGAGCGGCGAGAGGGGGCGGAAGAAGGCGCCCAACTCGAGTTGTGGACCGCGTGACTCGTCGGGGCTTCCTACAGAGGTAGGTGAAGTGACCAGGTCACTAGGACCCGGAAAACCAGGGAGTACCCAACTAGGATAGTCGAACTAGGATTCTTCAACTGCTGGTTGTTCAGGATTGGGATCATCCACAGCAGCCAAAGGTTGAAGAAGCACTCCCAGACACCAACGTGGCGCCCGGACTGCCAGGACTGCCGCCCCTGCCGCCAACCCCCCACACCTCCCCAACTGATCGGCATATATGGCAGTCCCATGGAGTGTCTGGGACTGGTTATAGACTATCCCAGCTCCGGTACCCCAGGTTTTACGGGTCTCAGATGAGGTCACTGGCTACCTCTCTTGGAATGCCGCCCAAGCAAAAGGTGCGCTTCTTTCTCTCCAGCAGGAAAACTCAATGCGATCCATGGTCGGTTGATTACTCTCTGAGGCCCTTGGAGGAGGAATGCCAAGCTGAACGATGCAGAGATGAAGAAGGCAGCGACTGCTGGGGGATGCGAATCCCTGCAGGTTCGGAGACCATGTTGCTGTTTGGTGGTGATAGAGAATCCCATTGGAGTCCTATCTGTCAGGAAGGACTGCTGTTGGCGCAAAGCAAGTGACCAAGCAGTTCCAAGCAGACCAGGTGTAGCTTTGCCTGGAAGCAACTGAATGAGTCTTTCTGTTTTCCCTGCCTTCAAGACTGTACCCTTATAAAATGAAGATCCTTTTAAACTTTTCTCTTAATAGAACGCGACGGGCAAATGCATTTGCAGGGAACATTCTGTTCAATCGTTTGGAGCTGAAATCCGGACACCTGGCGCTAGCTAGCAGAAAGCTAGCTGGATGGCTGACTGATCATGTTCCTTCTCCCAGCCATCCTGATCATGTTCCTTGTCCAGATCAAAAAGAACCCTTGGAAGCGTGGATGGGAGAGGTTTGCTTTTGGGTACACTCTAGACTTCCAAGACTATAACCAAACTGGTTGACCTGGTTGTGTAGTGCAAAATCCTGGGTTGCTTCAGGATTCAGCCTATGAATTTACTGGTGGAGCAGGACGTCTAGGGTACATGAAACCCATTTGATCCCTTCCAGAACTTTGCCAGGAAGTCTTGAACTGGGACAGCACACACTTCGGCGGCGCGGGCAAGGCCTGTGCCGTTCCGAGTCGTTCGACGAAACTCACCTTCACCCCACTGGAGTGGATGCGGAAGCGGGTGCTGGTGGTGGAAGACAGCATGCAACACCCTCCAGCAACACCTAGAATGAACACCGAACGAATGACACACCCTCCTTCTAGTTTCGTGGACACCTAGAATGCCAAGAGTTGTCTTTCCCCCACAACTACTGGTCCGTGATCAGATGGGCAGATTCATGCAGGGTGGTCATGGCAAGGCGTGGAGTGATGGCCTTGTGATTGGGACAGCGTCCCCATAGACAGAGCTCTTTCTTTGAACATGGTTTGAACCCTTTTGTTCCATTTCCTTGTCATTCCGGGTCTTCTTCATGAGTAGCCCCATTTCGATTCTTAGACATTGTCACCAGGAACAACGCGACCTCCAGAGTCTTTCACCGATCCAAACCTCCCCGCGGAGCCCCAGCTGACCCTGAAGCTGTAGACCTGTTGCGAGAGGTCCTTTTCACCGTGAGAGGTCCCAAACTCGAGCGAACTGATGGTCCATCTCCACCCAGCCCGTGGAGAGCCCCGTCCTTGCCCCCCACTCAACTCGACGTCCCTCCACTCATGGACATCACATGACCGACCCTGGGGTTTGCCAGCAGAGGTGGGTCAGAACCCTAGTTCGACTATCCTATAGGTACTCCTGTAGGGTCCTAGTTCAGGTCACTTAACCTCTGTAGATGGGGCGTCTGATCGTTGAGGTCGTCTTCGAGGAGCCCACCTGGAAAGAGACCTGGGAGCCGATGATGCGCGCGGACTTCAAGCTCTTCGACGAGCCACTCGGGCAGACGACTCCTTGCCATGGTGCCAAGAGGGGTGAAGTAACCTTATAGGACCTGTCACCTGGGGTACCTATGGGATAGTCGAACTAGGGTCCTTCAACCTCTGTTGGTGGGCCATGGGTGGGACATGGGAAGAAGCGGGTGGGCCCCTCGTGGCTGGAGGATGGGGATCTTCTCAGAAGCGCGGCTGGGAAGAAGGGCCCTGGAAAGCGCGGGGCTGGGAGGATCTGGCGGTGGGGAGCGGGGTGGGCGAGTGGGTGAGGGAGCTGTCAGACTAAATGTGCAGAAAGTGAAAGCCCTAGGCTTCCAACAACCATTAATTTAATAGGCTTTATGAAATCAACTAGGGATTTTACACTACAAAAACCAGGTCAACCATTTTTTAAATGGTCTTGGAAGTCTAGGGAAAGGAATATCCAGAAATCGCTTTAAGAGCATCCAATTCAGACTCGTGGCTGTCCGTATCGTCCGGCCACGTGGCCGTTTTTGGAGACCCACTGCTGGTGACGTTTATACCCACACACCGAGGAGTTCACAGGGGGCAGGGAATGCGGGGATTTCTCAATCGTCAGCACCTTGCAAACTGCAAAGTCACCTTGCAACCCATTGAGTGTGAGGCTGTTGAACTCAAGCAGATGGCGCCAGCAGCCGTAGAAGTCCAGTTCGACTGATGTAAAGGAAATCACCTATAGTCGGACCATTGGAGCAGGGGACGGTTTTAGATGTCCGCAAGATACGTCAACCTAGGCCCTAGGCTTTGACCAGTGTCCTCACTGCCAGGTCACCACCCGCCACTTGTAAGTCTCCGTTCAGCCACCATTTGGGGGATCTGTAGAGTGGGGCGCTGGTCCTTCCTTTGTGGGGCATGTAGACGATAGTCCATCTCTTTGCAAAATGGTCGAGCCCGACGCATGCAAACACAGGCAAACACTCCGGACACGAAAGGTTTTGGAACGAGAAGAAGTGGAAGGAAACCTACCTACAGAGGTTAAGTGACCTGAACTAGGACCCTACAGGAGTACCTATAGGATAGTCGAACTAGGGTTCTGACCCACCTCTGCTGGTACTTCCTGGTTCTTCAAAGTGACCTTTTCCCAATCACCTTTCCAGACCTTCAAAAGGCCTCGACCGTTGCCTTGCCCTCGACACGAGAGATGAGACAGTTGCGTTGCTTTTGGGGTTCCCAGGCACATCGGTATACCTGGACCTTCAAAGGGGTGTTGAATGGAGATCCCGAATAGTGATTGTAGGGGCGAAACCAGCCAGGTGACCCCGGAATGAAGGTGCTGGTATACAGTATCTTCATGTCGCTACAGCCGTCGCTGTCAGGTACAAGTTCAAGCACGCCGGCACACCGAAGTTCGACTTCCCCCTCCACTGCTGGTGGTGCGAGGGAGAGCACTTCATCAAGGGAGAGATGGTCCAGGCCCCACGCGAGATGGTACAGCCTGGTACAGCACGTGCTCGCCGCGAGGGAGTCCGTTTTTGTTGGGCGGTTGGCGTGGGTGCATGTCTTCGCCTCCCCCCCCAAAAGAAGCACCTGCCGCGGATGCTACGGGTCGTTGACCCGGCACCCGGCCTGTGGAAACGGCGAACACAGGCAGCGTGGACATGCCCCAGCTCGGCCAGTTCTGCCCCGGTGGCGGTGAAAACTTCCAAGGAAGTGGTGCAGTACTGGACCGGACCTTTTCGTGGTGCTGGTGACGTGTTGGGATGCTTTTTGGGGTGCGGCCCTGGACTTTTTGTTGGGGTGGTGTGCGTGTGTGTGTGTGTGTGTGTGTGTGTGTCCACCTCTGTAACTAAGAGTTTCTGTTTTTCTCAACTTTTAAGTCGCAGGGGGCATGACGGTCGATTTCCTAGTCACGCCAACGAAGCTAGGGAAATCGACTGGATGGAAGTTTGGACGCAAACTTCTGTACCTGCGCGGATGAAAACTTTTGCACACGCTCCACTTTTCCTTTTGTTGTTTCCATGGTGGTTGTTCGCATGATATCCCCCAAAACAGGTTTCCTTAGCTTTGGTAAAGCGTTTGTTAAACAGTTCTTTTCTTCGGACCCTTGCACCTTACTGTTCTTGCAGTAAAGGGCTAATGCAGTAACTAGCTTCCGCAATCAAGTGTGAAACCACTTTGTTCAAACACCTACAAATGCTTGGACTCTTCGCCTTTCTGTTCCACCACGTTTCTTTGACTTGGGAACCGAGTTAACAGCAAGCCAATGTCAGAGTGTGACTCGCTCAGTTGTCCCACTTGGGTGCGGGAGAGGTATCAAAAAAAATTGATAGGCATCAAGAAAAAATTAATAAGCATCAAAAAAAAATTGTTTGGTCCCTTGGTCCTCTGGTCCCTTGGTCCCCTGGTCCCTTGGTCCTCTGGTCCTTTGGTCCTCTGGTCCCTTGGTCCCCTGGTCCCTTGGTCCTCTGGTCCTTTGGTCCTCTGGTCCTCTGGTCCTCTAGTCCTGTGGTCCTCTGGTCCCTTGGTCCTCTGGTCCTTTGGTCCTCTGGTCCCTTGGTCCCCTGGTCCCTTGGTCCTCTGGTCCTTTGGTCCTCTGGTCCTCTGGTCCTCTAGTCCTGTGGTCGTCTGGTCCCCTGGTCCCTGGGTCCTTTGGTTCTCCTGCTACATCCCTTTATCCTTCTGCTGCCGCCGCTGCTTTTGAAACATGCTGTCCATACTTGTTTGCGTTACGGGGGAGGCGCTGCGCCCTCCCCCGAACCCCCTCCCGCTTCTTTAATCCTCCAAGAAAGCTCCAAGTCAAGCCCAAAGAAACGTTAAAGAAGCGAAGGCCCAAGCGAAGCTTAAAGTCCAAAGAAACCCTAAAGAAACGATGCCCTGAGCCAAGCCTAAAGAAACCCTAAAGAAACGAAGCTCTAAGCCAAGCCCAAAGAACCCCCAAAGAAACGAAGCTCAAAGCCAAGCCCAAAGAAACCCTAAAGGGTTGAAGCCTCAAGCCAAGCACAAAGAAACCCTAAAGAAACGAAGCCCTCAACCAGGCCCAAAATAGAACCCTAAAGAAGAAAACCCAAAAGCGAAGCCGTGAGCAAAGCCTAAAGAAACCTTAAACCCCTGATCCCTTGGTCCCTTTGACCTCTTGCTCCCTCTGTTGCTTCCTGAATGTCCTAGTCCCTTGAGCTTTACTGGTTTGCTGGTCCTAGTCTCTTGGTCCCCCGGTCCCTTCGTCTCTTTGGTCGTTCCATATCCTGGTGACCGCTCCAGATTGATATTGAATTATGTTTGGAAGGTACATTTTTTTACGGAATGTGTTCATTTGTTTTTTGGTATGTTTCTTTTTTCGGATTCTGCTTTTGCAGCTTTTCTGTTTCTGCTGCGTTTTTGCTTTTGCATATGCTTCTGCTGTTTTTTCTCATTGTGCTGTGTTTTTTAAAACTATGTTTTTGTATGTTTTTGTGCTTTCCATTTTGTTTGTTCTTCTTTGCTTCTTCTATTCTTCTGCTTTGGCAACTGTTTTGCTTTTTGCTTTTTGTTTTTGCTTACTTTTCTGGCTCTTGTTTCCCCTTCTGTGCATGTCTCGCCTTTCCTTGCGTCTCACCGCTTCTTTGCTTTGTTACTTTTCCTGCTTTTCTGTGCGTGTGTTGCCTTTCCTTGCTTCTCACTGCTTCTTTTGTTTTTCTGCTGCTGGGTTGGTATCTTTGTTCTTCTAATTATTAGTTGTTACTGGCGCTTTTGAGAAACCAACGCCCTGGTCCCTGGTAACATCAAAAACAACTATGTATTATCGATCTTGTTGCTTATGACTTGTGAGCGCAGATCTTAGTCCTGATCTCCTGGTTCCTTGGCCTCCTCCTCCATAGTAACCCCTGGGAGTCAAGGACTATAAAAAGAATGGTCTTTAGGAGACCTCAAAGGGAACTTCCTTTACTTCAGCCGGTCAAAATATAGTCTTTGGACTTCTAGGGAACCGTGTTCTGCAGATGGTTGCTTCCAGCGCAAGTTTTGGCTCCGTCTTGGCTCATGGAGCGCTTTTGTGCTGACACTCGCGTGGGCGATCTGTGTGTGCCTTGTTTGCAGATAACAGTGGCACAAACATGGTAAAGCTCACGTACCTTCATTTCTGATGCTTTGAGCTGTCGCATCAATACGCGACTCACAAAAGGACGTGCGCTTGAGAGAGAGATTCAGAATTCGGGACAACGAGCCGCTCTTCTTTGCTATCCAAGGGCGTGAAGCTTGTGCCAGACAGTGGCCTAGTTGCACATTTGGTGGTTGCGCTCCACATGTTGCAGAGTTGCAGTCGCCATTCTTTGTGAGTTGGATAGCAGAAGATCGCGGTCACACCTTCGAACCGCTTTCTTCTTGTGTCGGGGACCTGCAAGCAACAAACCGTAAGCAAATCTTCTGCGTAGGAGCTGTGTGACGCAAGCAGTAAGAACTCTTTCTCTGTTTACAATGATTACCATTACTTGTAGATGAGGTGTCTCGAGCCCCCACCCACAGTATTATTGTCGAACAATCACAGTAGCTTCGGTGTCGCTGTATCTCAACCCCACAAGGATTCTGTAGATGCATCTATGCGATTTTGTCCTCGTAACGCTGAGGGGGTGCCAATGGAGAAGCGGACGAAAAGCATGTAAAAGGGAAGAAGGCGAGGAAGACCGAGACCTTGCGCGTTTATCGTATTCTGCGATGCGCCGGTCCTTGTGCTCCTACGATCACTCCACTTCCACGTGGCTGCAGGTCCCCGATTCAGACGTGGGCTCTCCCCCTCATGGGCTTGCTCAAAAGCTTGCTCCTCTCATCTTCGCTGACTCATCGCCTGCCCTAGAAGCTGCCCTTCAGCGCTTGGATTTTGGCGCGTCTCCCCTCTCCGACCTGGAGAGGCTGGTTCGTTTCTTCAACGATCATGTTCTGGTTGTCGTTGGGCCGCAAGCAAAAAAGTTTTGGCGGCGAGAAAATGTAGAAGGGGAAGACGAGCAGCTGCACACACAAGCTTGGTGTGCCTCTTGCGAGGTTCTGCTTGCACGCAAGCTGCGAGCACACCCATGCTGCTTTCTTGCATTTAGAGCACATTTCGATGCAAGTTCCTGTGTTTCCAGAGCGTCAAGCTCGCACACCGCTCTTCCAGCAGCAGCCAGTTCAACAGCTAATTTTGCCTACCCAGCGTCGGCAGGTGACTGCGCAGTCCCGCGTCCCTGTCTCTTTGCCACCTTTTTCAGGGCCTTCGCTGGCCAATTTCATCCGGGCATGCGACCTGCATCTCTGGGGACCTTTGTTTCACAAACAGCAGACCTCGGTCCACCAAATTTCCTCCCTTCCCGTTGCGGATCTCATTGCAATCTTCCCCGCTATCCCTGCTGGAGTTCTTTGCAAGATCCAGAGCGCTGCGCAAGAGTGGCTTTCTAAGGCCAGCTGGTGTCGCGTGTTTGATCTTACCCTTGCTTTCGCGCGTTGCAGGATGACGACACTGCTGCTGCCGACTTTGAGGCATGGGCTGTATTTTTTGATACTTTTTGCTCACGTCCGTTTCTCACGTCAGGACTTGGACACAGCAGAAGGCACGCCGCAGGCTGGATGATTCTTAAGCATGCATTCTGCGAAGTTCATATACAATACGCCATATCCACCTTTTCCCAACCAATGTCGCTGCTTGCTTCAGGATGTGGGCAGTGGAGAACCACCTCCGAGACCGGTCGAGGCCCTGACATACAACCAGGTCTTTCTCGCAGCTCACGTGTTTTGTTTGCCCTTGACAATGCTTGCGCCTATTCATATTCTTCCGGATTGTGCGTCTCCTTTAGGCTCCTCTTCCAAAAGTTCCTCCTCAAGTTATGGCCTCAGCTTGCCAAGTTGGCGCATCCTACACTTGCGTGAGCCCCTCGATGCGAGGCCAGAGATGCACCTGAAAAGGCGTTCCAGCTGATTCGTGTCATTCCATACCATATATATATATATATTCTATTATTACTTCTGTATCTTCTCTCCTATGCTCGCGATGTTCCCAGGAAGCGCAACCACCTCCCCCACCTTCGCCATGGAAGGACCTTTACTTTGCAACTTGCCTTGTCCTCGCACGCCGTCCTTCCTTGCTCTGGCTTGTCAGGGAATGAGTGCTTCCGAGCGCATAGTTGCATTACGCGCTGCCTATCCTAAGTGATAGAAACCTTTTTCACTGATTCAAAAAAGGCTGCTCCAGCGCCCTGCGTCTGCACTGCGCCACTACTACCGTTACTATGATTATTAGTTCTACAATTATTGCTATTGTTTCTGTTTCTGCGTCTTGTCCTGTTTCCTCCTACTACAGCAACTACTACCACTACTACTTTATTGCTACCACCTACTACTACTACTACTACTACTACTACTACCACCTACTACTACTACTACTACTACCACTACTATTACTACTACCACCACCACCACCACCACTACTACTACTAATACTACCACCGCTACTGCTACTGCTACTCCCAC